GCGACGCTCCCAGTGCGGCCCCGGCTGGTGGGGAAGAGCTGGCCTAAGCTGGAGCGGAGGGAGGTGGGCCATGGTCCGGGAGGGGTGGGGGGGGAGACACTGACCCTTCGCATCTGCTCCCGCAACTGCTCCCGCATTGACTCGGGGCACTTATCAAGGTGGCTCTTCGACTCATGGTAAAGCGCCCGGAGTTGCTCTAGCTCCTTCCTTTCAGCATCAACCTTTGCCCTTTCCTGAATCAGGGGAGAACAAGACAAAACAAAAAAAAAAAAGGAAAAGAAAAGAAAAGGGGGGGAAAAAAAAAAAAAAAGAGAAAACACACTTCTCAAATCCACGCCATGCAGAAGCTGCAGAGTTAGAGAGGGGCTCAGCTGGAAAAAGAGGGGGCTCGCGGAGAGGAGCATCATGGCATCTACAGAGGGGTCAAGAGAGCAACAGCCATGGGGACCCAGGCTGGGTGGTGTTAGAGGGGTTACGGCCAGCCCTCGACCTCAGCCTTGCGTTTCCATGCCGAAAGCCCACTTACGGGCAGCGAAAAGATTGATGCCCACAGCATGGATAAAGTCATCCCGATCCTGCAAGCAGCTGCACCACGCGCACCTTCTGAACAACCGCTAACTAGCTTTGTTAATTGATGCTCACCGTCGGGGACGCTGCCAATTAAGCACAAGCAGGTCCTGTACGCAGGCTGAGGGACCACGGACCACCCCTCTCCATCGGAAGGAGAGGGCTGCCTGCGGGATGGCAGTGAAAATGGGAGACTGAGGTCCAACCCTGCTTGCCACAGCTGCTCAGGCTGCGCCAAGTTACTGTCGGGAGCAGACACTTGCTCCTGGCCCCAGGATGAGGGGGAAGCGTCCCCAGCCCTCCCTCCCACGGCCGCAGGAGCAGCACAACGGAGGCCAGCGACATGGGGCTGGTGTAGGGGATCACCTCCCGCAGCTCTGGCAGCCCCATACAGGGGCTAGGCGTTGGGAAAAACACGCTGCAAGAAACCCCGCTCCATGCTGCGGCAGCGCAGAGACGCGGGGATCCATGCAAAGGGACAAGGGGGGACACGCCGGGGGGAGACAGGGCTGGCACAGATGGGCGCCCCAGGACAGGGGCTGCAGTGTGCCCAGGGGGCTCCCAGGCATGCAGAGAGGTGAGAGGTGACGGCAGACTTCAGAGCAGGCACCGTTAGTGCAATTAGTGCAGGCTAGTTAGGAAAGCGGGTGGTTAGGTCAGCAGAGAGGTTGGGAGGGGGATTTCCCTGTGCTCCTCTCCTGGCTCTGCACGAGGCTGCCCCTGGCTAGAGAAGATGCCTGCAAAGGGCTGGAAGACCAAAACCAGAACAAAAACCCCAAACACCATCGGGGCACGGCTGGAAGGAGCAGATGGCAGCTCTGCCTGGCCACAGGCAACCAAACAGCCCGGGCACCTCTGGCCACGGGGCCGGCCAGACCCCCAGGGACGCTGGTGCTGCATCATGGTGGCACAGAGCCACCGGCGGGACCTGGGCATAGGCTGCA